CTTATCTAAGCAATAAGCAGGGGGCTGGGGAGGTGCCTTAGAGACAATCATCTATGCCCAAGCACAGTTAGCCACAAGGCGGCTAGGATGGGAAGGTTTAGCCCAGAGAAGCAAGGGCTACTCTGGGGATGGAGGCACAGCCTTCCTTCCCGCAGAGGCTGGCCTGGGCTCACTGACCTCCTGGGGCTCATCCCCACTGGCTGGGGGTTTTGCTTTATGGGGATAGTACAGTTTATCCTTGGAGAAAAAAAAATTATAGGAAGGTATTTTGATCTATAGATTCAATGCAATTCTAATAACACACACACACACACACACACACACACACACACATTAACAAGATGACTATAAAATGTGTAAGAAAAGGTAAAAGAGCCAGAACAGCCAAATAATTTTGGAAAATGTCTCCTTGGGCAGTGGGGAAGAGTAGGGGTGACTTCAGCATGGCTGGTGAGGGGTGAGTCCTTCACACATCATATGGGGGAACAAACAGGTTTTCCATTCCTGAAGAAGGCAGGCCTGCTCCAGTCCCGCTTGATACTCCTACTTCCTCAGTAATACCCTCCGGCCTCACAGTGTTTCCGTCTAGATAACAGAATCTGTAAAATGAGGCCACTTAGTTTACTTCCAAGACCATCTAATGTTCCCACTCATTCACTTCTTGATTACCTGTGTTTACTCCTACTTCCATCCATCTTGCTGTTTCCCAAAATACTTCCTACTTAAAATCAGCATAGGTTTTATGTGTAAACTCACCTGTTAAAGGTGAGTCCTGAGCCCTTGAACTCTCTCAGAGGGTCCCAGTGTCATCCTTCTGCTCAGAGCACCAGAACTGGCTGAGAAAGCAGGTATGGCATTTGTTCCACATGAGGTGAACAGAATTTTATTTTTCTTCCCATTTTTCAGTGAAGATATTGAAGCTGACTGAGACAATATGATTTTCCCAGGGTCAGACAGCTAATAACTGGCAGGGCGTAGACTCAAACCTGGGAGCCATTTCTAAATCCTGAGCTTGCTCCATCTGTCTAGTTCCAACCATTTCAGTGCCTGCTGTTGAATCAAGAATTGCCTCAACATTTATTTCTCTAAGTCCCCAAGCAGGGAAAAAAAGTGCATGATTAACTGCTGAAACAAGAATTGCCTCAACATTTATTTCCCTAGGTCCCCAAGGGGAGAAAAAGTATATAATCAACTAGCTATGCCAATCAATGGAACTAGCCACCAGCCAGGGGTCTGTATACTGTCTAAAGGCCACTAGACTTCTGCAAGGAATGCCAAGCCATATAGAGGGTCACTGGGGCAGGCTGATCCTGCTTCCAGTCAGCTCACCAACTCTCACAGGCAGCAGGCCCCTGGGATCACCCAGTGGTTGAAGTTCAAAGCTCGGTGGCAGTGTGGGATGGAACAGCTCAGGGAGGAACCTGGGTCAGGGCATAAGAAACACTGGGAAGAAAGGATGGAGAGTGCCCTCCTCCACTGTGGGGCACTGGGTCAGGAGAGCAGAAGAGATAATCAGCTTGGGCCCCACTCTCCCTCAGTGTCACTCCTGAGATAGGCCCCCTAGGACACTGTGCAAGGCTGTGGTTGGGATTTATAAGTGGGACCAGGGGGTTGGAGTTGCCTGTTTGTGCCTCTCTAGTAAAAGACTGCAGCACCCCACTTCCTCATTGTAGTTTCAGACTTCTGGGCCTTTGCTACCCATCCTCCAGATTCTAGACCTAATTCAAGAGGCATGTTCTCCATGAGGCCCTATGCTGTTTCCCTCAGTCAAAGGCAGCCTGCAGTGGGCACTTCATTCCTTGAAAAGATTCAGAAATGCTGGTGCCTATGGGGCTTCCACCTGCTGCCTAGGCTGATCTGAACTGAAGTGGGCTATTCTCAACTCCTAGGAGCCCAGGAAGCCAAGATGCTCACCAGTCTCTGGCCTTCAAAGTCATTCCTTCAGCAAAGCTGGAAGGTCACTCCTTTCTCCTCAGTGGCAAAGGGAACTGTGGCAAGGGCTGTGGCCTGGGAGCCCTCTGGGGTCCACCGCCAATCCACGAGCAAACTATCAAAGTCCCTTTCCAGTTCAGATGAGGAAAGGGGACCTGTCCCTGTACTGAACGCAGCTTTTGTAGCACCCTATTCTTCCTGGAAAGCCCAAGTCCTGGACCCTGCAGCTCAGGGTCAAACCCAATGGGTCTGGCCTCATATTACAAAGACCAAGACTCAGGGTTCTTCTGGGAGCTATACATGTAGGCATATCTCCTTGCTGAGACTAGACTTCTTGACAACCAAGAAAGTGACTGAGTAGTGGGCCCTATGAGGTAGAGAAGCCTACCTGCTCCTCTAGAGGGCCAGCCCTGAAGCCAAGCTCCTGATTACCAGTTCCAGACCCATTCCACCACTCTACTGCCTCAAAAGTGGCCAGATTAGAGAAAAGCGGAAGAACACAATGGGTTGAAGCAGAACCCAATCCAATGTCCAGCATGCTTGATTCCTGGGCTACTGTCAGAAAGGGACAGGGGACCTGCTCTGATGTGGCCTTGCAGGGTCAGGAGGGATCTCAGAGGAGTCTTGTGTTCCACCATAAATGACCTGTTAAGACCTAGCAAATGAGGGCTGGGGATGTGGCTCAAGCGGTAGCGTGCTTGCCTGGCATGCGTGCGGCCTGAGTTCGATCCTCAGCACCACATACCAACAAACATGTTGTGTCCGCCGAGAACTAAAAAATAAATATTAAAAAAAAAAATCTCTCTCTCTCTCTCCTCTCTCTCTCTCTTTAAAAAAAAAAAAAAAGACCTAGCAAATGAGGACCGAGGGTGTGGCTCAGTGGCTGAGTGCTTGCCCAGCAAGGTCCTGGGTTTGATCCCCAGCATTGCAAAAAAAAAAAAAAAAAGGCATGTGTGTAAAATAAAACCACACATCACACATCACAAAGTCTTCCCCTGATCCTACTTCCTCCCTGCTTCTCAGCACTAATCTGAAGTCATTTCTCCCCATCATGTTTACACTCTGCTTTTGCTTTCTTCTAGCACAGGACATCTTAACATTTCCTGTTGACAACAGTCTGCGTCCCTTTAGAGAACACCAGCTCCCTGAGGGTAGGGATTGTCCATGGCTGCCTCCCAGAAGCGTACATTGGTACCCCACAAAGAGCAGATGACCGATGAAGTTGGTGTTGACCAAGTACAGGCATGTAATATCATTTTGTTTCCCAATTTTATAGAGATGCTCTTGCACTGTAGGTCTCAATTCTGAAACCTGTTTTCTCCTTCATTCAACACCATGTTGAGACTCAACAATGTGTTCCAACATTCAAGTATTCTACTGTCTGACCCACCCACCACTCACTCCTCTTTTCTCAGCAAAGAGTAGGAGAATCAGAAAAGACCACCCAGAAAATCAAAGACAGCCCAGGAACTGGAACTCTGGGCTCTATTCAGCAACACAGAACCTAAGAACAGGCCAAAAGAAAACCAAAGGGCCTCTAAGTAGTCCTCAAAGAGCAGAAAGAACTGTGTAGGCACCCACTGGAGTCATTTAAGTCTGGGGTCACCTGGAAAAGGAGAACTACTTGGCTTTTACCTTTCCATCACCAGCTGAGGACCCTCAGGGGGTTAGGGTGCAACAATAAGCACAGAGCCCAGTGCCAGGGACCCAATCTCCCATCAGCACCACGAGCCTCTCAGAATAGAGATGTCATCATGTCTAAACCCATGCGAGGTGGCAAGAACCCTGCAGGGCTACCCAGAGGCTGCTGTGAAAGCAGTTTGTAACTGGAGTGAGATCTGCTCCTGATCAAGGAGGCAGAGATGAGGCCTGCTCTTTTTGCTGCTGAAGACAACAAAGGGTTGTGGCATTAGGAAGGTCTGCTCCAGTGTCCCTGTCCAGATTTCCCAGGGAAGCTCTCCCTCCTTTCTAACTGTCCCTCCCCAAAGCACAGCCCACTGCACCAAGATCTACTCCTCCCATCAGCAGACACCACCACAGGTCCTGTGCCTGAAGGAAGCTGCCCAGGGCAGAAGCAACCAAGGACCCTTGTCCATGAAGATGCAGTTTGATCACAGGCAGACTGTCCCAGTTCAGGGGACAGTCTGCCTGTGACTGTGGGCATGACATGGAGAGTGTGAGCCCTCTGAGACTTCAGGTGTGTGGATTCCACTTAGGCATAAAGACTATTCTTACCTCACAACAATCCATCCAGCCCCACATGCTGGATGGATCCTGCAAATTATTCTCAAGTAGTAGTAGTAGTAGTAGTAGTAGTAGTAGTATTGGCAGTGCTAGAAATTGAACCAGGGCCTATGCATGCTAGGCTAGTGCTCTGTCACTGAGCCACACACCCAGCCCTCCCAAAATTTTTTTATGCAAAGCAGCATCAGTAGCTCTGTAGAGGGCATAGTCCTTAGGACTGGGAATGTGTGGGGTGGATCTTGTGCCTGCCACATGAGGGAAGAGTGTTCTAGCCCCTCACGTGGGCTGTGCTGGGGCAACTTAAGTTAACTCAGCCAGAGGACTACATTTGACAAAGATAAATAAATGAACTGCTGAGGGAGCACAGCTCAAGAGAAGTCAAAAAGCAGCTTTTGAGCTGAGCTCCAACATGAAAACCAAGCTGTCAAGGATGGAAGAGAGATAAGAAGGAAGGAGTCCCAGGGTGAGAGGGCAGTGTGAACAGACGAGTGGACACAGTGCTATTCAGGAAATGGCCGGTGGCCAGAAGAGGCTAGAAAAGGCCACAAGGCCCAGGCAGAACTTCCCACATTTTGCATATGATGTGGAACTCAAAAGATGAGTGAAAAGACAGTGTGAGGTCAGGGGAAAAAAGCCAGTGGCAAAGAGCCAGACACCAAGTGGGGGAAAGGACGCAGGGAAGGCCCAACTAGTGAGAGGGTTGAGGAGGGAGTGGGGACAGGGCTCTGAAACAGGGCTGGAAGAAAAGAGACTCAGCGAGCAACAGGTGCTGGCGAAGAGAGCAGGGCAGGGAACAGCATGACGGGAGCTGCACACAGTGCTACCTGTGCTTTTCACCTTCCTCCTCTTCTTCTCTGAGTTGCTTGGTCTTTGGCTCCCCATCTTCTTTGTCCTGAAAAGAAAGGGAGAACACCATCTGCTTAGATAAATGTTCCTACTTCCAGTCTAGACCACCTGGGTGGCCAGTGAAGAACAGGACATCTCAGGAGTAAGGCCCTAAGTCTAGAGAAGTCAACTCAGTCTTCCAGCACCTGATGGACACAATGCTGGAGCTTCACCTCCCACCCTTCACTGCCTGGATAGAATTTAAAATCTACAACCCTATGGGGCTCAAGTGGTAGCGCGTTCGCCTGGCATGCATGAGGCACTGGGTTTGATTCTCAGTACCACATAAAAGATATTGTGTCCACCTAAAACTAAAAACTAAAAAATAAAATAAAATCTACAACCTTAGCCCAGGCCCAGGTACAGAGTAACCCTCAAGACCAAAGAAGAGGGTCTAGATATAAGCACTCCTGAGATAGTGGAGACTGGAGGTCACCAGCAACCTCTCCAGAAATACCCATCTGGTTCCCTTGAGGAGTCACATAGCTCAGATCAGGACCAGGTTTGTAACAAGACTCACTGCCCAGGCCTGAAGTGTACCCAGAGAGACAAAGGCAAGGGAAATTCATTTGAAGTTTATGTGGGAAAAATGTCTTCCAAATCTGGTTCTTCTGGGGGTATAGCTCAGTGGCCTAGCATGTGTGAGCTCTGGGTTCGATCCCTAGCACTGGAAAAAAAAAAAAAACCCACAAAATCAGTCTGAGTCTTCTGCCTTCCTCCATCTCTAATTTTTTTTAAATTTGTAGATGGACCCAATACATTTATTTTATTTATTTATGTGTGGTGCTCAGGATCAAACCCAGTGCCTCATATATGTTAGGCAAGCATTCTACCACTGAGTTATAACCCCGCCCCTCTTTTCTTTTTTGAGACAGGGTTTCACTATGATGCCAGGCTAGTCTTGAACTTGTAGGCTCAAATGATCCTCCTGCTTCAGCCTCTGAGGAGCTGGGACTAAAGGTGTGTACCACTGAACCCAGCTCTTCATAGTTTGTCTAGAGAAGTTGTATTTATCTTAACCTTGACACAGTATGCTTGTGCTGCAGGTGCCCTGAGGGCCACAACAGAAGGAAACTGCCAAGCCACTCCCCCTTCAGAAGAAAAAAGTCCCTAGCCTTTCCTGCTCTCTGTTATTACTGCTATTAGATCAGCCTGCCCTGTAGACAAACCAGAACACTGGCCAGAACCCTGTGTGATCAGCCCCACCAGTGTATGTGTGAGTACTCATATCCATGTGGACACACTACACGCCCAGGGCCCAACCAAGAAATCCTGAATGCCAGGGTCGGCCCCCTGGAAGGTGTCAAAGCTCACTTCGCTGAACAACCTCTGACTTGCTAGAGCAGTGGTTTGAGAAGACACCTGGAAGCTCCTTGCATTAGCAACTGCTCTGATGATATTAGGTGACCTGCAATGACACACAAATCCATATAAAACAGCTGCCTGGAGAGACTCTCCTAGTAGTTTGTGTCTGCCACTGACAACTGTCTCCCTGGGAGTGTACCAAAAAAGTGCACAAATCACTTTTTGGTGGTGTTCATGGTGGAGACCTTGAGGGTGGTGACCGGACCCCACCTTTCCGGGCCATACAACCTACAGGGAAGGAGACCAGACGAGAGGCCTAGTCCAGAGAAAGGCTTCCGGAACGGGAACACATCTTTTCAACCAGGGCAGCTCCACTCATGGGAATAAGACAGCAAGAACAAATAACTGAACAACTGACAGCAGCCATGTGAGAGGTTAACACAGTTCTCAAGGGATGAGTGAAGGACTGTCTCTGGAGGGATGCCAAGATCTGGGTGTCACAGGATGGGGAGGGAGGAGCAGGAGGGACATTCCCAGTGGGGAGCACACCTTGAGCAAAGGCAGAGTGAGCACTGCTGCGGTAGCAGAGGGGAAGGTGAAAGTGTAAGGTTGTCAAGGCAGGTGGGGCTGATCACAGAGAGCTCTGGCCAGTATTCTAAGGGAGAGAGAAGGGACCAGGAAGGGTCTGCTGACATCTGCCAGGCTGGGGGACAGGCAGAACCTGGGGATGGCCTGAGAGGAGAAGAGTGGAGCACAAATGTAACAGGGAAACAAGTTAGTGTTCTCCAAGTGACTCGCAGACTGCCAGGTCCTGGATGGGGCTTCCACAGAGGCCCAGCTGACACATGAGCCCCTCACTGAGTAAAGGCTCCCAAAGGAAGCAAGCTGAGAGCCTGGACATTCAAACAAAAGTTCCCCCACTGCCAGCCCGAGGACTCCCTGAAGGCTAGAGGCACTGTCTCAGGGGAAAGAATGACACCTGCCCTTGGCAAGTAAGTTAGGGACAGAACAGCAGAAAGGACTCCGCTCCGCCACAGCGGATAGGTGAGCAAGGTCCCCAACTCCAGAGAAAGGCTTCTTTAAAAGCTCTGTGTACCTGGCAGAACAGGGAGAAAGCTGAGGAGGATCATCCTCTGGGAGGAGTACTCCACCAATACCATGCCCTTCCCACCCTGGGCAAGGTCAAACAGTCAAACTGCTGCCATGGCTTATGGAGTCCCAGGGACACTCAAGTGCCTTGGCAAAGGCCAGGGTATTCACAATAAATGAGAAAACATCCAAGTATGTAAATGACATTTTAAAACATCACCCAGCTTGCTGGCGGGTAGGAAGCAGCACTGCTCTGCAGACAGTACAATGAGGTTAAGGAAGACCCCTGCCTGGGATGCTGATCAGAACAGGGGATTGAGGCAGAGAAAGACACATCATGGCAAGAGCAGGGAATAGGCCACGAATATGGGGGATGAGGTGGAGGAGGTACTGCAGCCTTCCTGTTAAATGGTGATTCTCAGCTAGGATAATGAGCATTCACAAGATGGAAAATCACTTTGGGGCGATCCTGGCCTGGGCCATGAGGCATAGTGTCCCCCTCACCTTTATCTGGGAAGCTGGGAGGAGATGCACACCAGCCCCAATGCCCACCCCAGTCTAAAGCCTCAAAGAGCTCAGAACTAGAGGACTCACAGGATCACCTGCTCCAGCTCTTCAATTCAAACCATGGGGGAAACCCACGAAATGGCTGTCAGGCAAAGAAAAAAAAAAAGATTTGTCCAAGGTCACAGAATCTATCTTTGGTTGCTGTAGGTCCGGCTAAAGGTCCTCCTGGTCCTGGCCCTGTGTTCTTGCCTATCAAGAGTGACATAGAGTTTCTAAAAATGGTTCTGACCTCAGCTGCCTTTCCTGTGCTCCTCTTGTGGTTTAGATCTGGCCATGAGAATGCAGACCCAGCCACAACCAGTGCAAGTCCAGGTCGAGGCCCTAAGACAGTCAGCAGAAGAGCAGGCAGAACCTTAGGTACCCCATGTCCCAGGGATCTAGAGACACCACACCCATCCCAAGGTCCTTAAATCAGACTCAGTGCCTAACCTCTCCCTCCACACACCCTTCCCAAACCTCTCCATTTTTCTCCCTCCTTCCCAATCTCCATTCTTTATTTCTTCCCCCTCTCCTCCCAGCCTCCTCAGGTCTTCACAACAACCAAGCCTCTAGCCACTCCCCTCCACCCTAGCCTCCCGGCCCTTTCCTCTGGAGAATGCAGCTGCCTCCTGTACTTCCCCCTAAGTCTTTTCTGCCTGCTCCATGCACATCACCAGAACTGATCAGGTCACACTGCCTCAGCTCAAAGCTCTTGCTGGCTCTCCACACCCGCTGGACAACAGCCACTCCCCTTGGCCTGGCCCCAAGAGGTAGTTTCCAAGGTCCCTCCACCTGTCCCATACTCTGTTCATTCTGGTTGCTATCCAGAACACGTTGACACCCAACCTTTTATCTCAAAACCTGACATGCCACTATCATAACTCCAAAGAAAGTTCACTCGTCAGTCTTAGAGATCAGCTCAAAGGCAGCCTCCTAGAGGTAGCCCTCTGAGATTCCTGAGTAAAGGGCCCTCTCACTCTTCTGGGCCCTGACCCTAGGCCCAGGACACAAGCCAGTGGCCATTCCTATTCACATTTTCAGACCTTAATGCCCTTTCCCAGGTCCATCTCAGTGCAGGCCATCTCCTGGGGCATCTCAAGACCCAGTCCAAAGCCTGGACTAGACAACTCCCATTAACTCAGTGCCAACTCAACTATTCTCTCCAGCAACTCCAAAGACTCAAACTCTCAGGAAGGCTGATGGCCAGAGGGCAGGAGAGCCATGGCCTAGATGGGGCCTTCCCCAGTCTGTTTGCTGATTCCACATCTGACCTCACATCCTTTCCTCAACTTCCCCAGAGCTTGCAGGAAAAAGGAACCTCTGCAGCAGGACTTCAGGAGGTCTCACAAATATCCCCACCTCAAACAGAACCTGTTTCCTAACATCGGACATCCTTTTACCAAGGACAAAACTTTTAAAAGTAAATTAGAGTTGAACCAGTCAAAGTGGCACATACCCATAGTCCCAGCATTCAGGAGGCTAAGGCAGGAGAATCGCTTGAGCCAGGAATTCCAGGTCAGCCTGGGCAACATAGCAAGACCCCGCTCCTTAAAAATAAATAAATAAATACCAATAATGGAGTTGTTGAGCTGGGGATGTAGCTCAGTGGCACAGTGCATGCTTGGCATGCTTAAGGCCCTCGGTTTAATCCCCAGTGTCAAAATAAAATAATAAATTTAGAGTTGTGTGGGACTGGTATTTATTTCTCCTTAAATATTCATTCAATAAGCCAGGCAGTATGGCATACACCTGTAATCCCAGCAGCTCAAGCAGGAGGATTGTGAGTTCAAAGCCACAAATAGGACTGGGGATGTGGCTCAGTGGTTGAATGCCCCTGAGTTCAATCCCTGGTACCAAAAAAAAAAAAAAAAGTTCAATAAGACTTTAGTGATGCTATCTTGGCCTTAAAAGTTTTCTCTGTGAGAAGATTTTAGATATAGGACTATACAGATTTTCTGTTTCTTATTGAGTCAGCATTAATTTGTGTCTTTCAAGGAATATGTATTTTACCTACTGAATTTGCTGGCATAAATTGATTTACATTATTCCCTTACTACCCTTTCCATAGAACTGTGGTAATGTCCACTGATGGTGATAATTTGTGTTGTTTTCTTTTTTTTTTTTTAATACTTGAATTACTTCTCAAGTTCCATTTATATATTTATGTGGTGCTGAGGATCGAACTCAGTGCCTCAAGCATGCTAGGCAAGCACTCTACTACTGAGCCACAACCCCAGCCCTTTGTTTTCTTTATCGAACAGCTACTAGAGCTTCAATCATCTTGGGACACCTTAACTCTTCAGACTTGATATTTTAGCTGTGGGTTTGCTCCTCATTCTCCTCTTTCTGGATGGAGCCCTAACTAGCTGAGTACCCCTGTCCCAGGATGGTACAGAAGTGAGGGGCAGCATAAATCCACATTGCTGCCTGAATGGAGGGCCACTATCAAAAGCTTGATCATCAACCAGACAGATATGCAGGAGAGGGAGGGAGGGAGGGAAAAGGGAGGTTACTATGTTGTCTCCTGCTGTCACTTCCCCCAGATTAACACTAAGGCATCTCTTCCCTAGACTCAGGCCCTCAAGGATCTCCTGAGTAGTCAAAGAAGCAGATTTAGAAAATGTAACTCTGAACTGGTATGGTAGTGCACACCTGTAATCCCAGCAACTCAAGAGGCTGAGGCAGGAGGAGTACAAGTTGCTAGCCTGGGCAACTCAAGAGAATAAAACAGGGTTGGGGATGCAGCAGTGGTAGGGCACAGCTGCATTTAATCCCCAGTACCACACACAAAACCAAAAACCAAACAAAAAAACCATCTGTGCCATGAGTGGTGAGGAAAGCTTTATGGGGTGGTGACACAGGATAGGTGTTATCAGGGAAAAAGGTGACCCTTAAAACAATTCTAGATGTGGTTACCAGGTGGCTAAAGAAAAGAGAACTTTCCTGAGAGTGGTAACTACCTGGCAAAGACACAAGAGCAGAGCAAGGGCATGGTCATGGTCTGCAGAGCAGACCCACGTGGCTGGCCCAGCCAGGACTGGCCTGGGTCAGAAGAGCCCCAAATCCTTTCCGGGGCTTTCCTCTAGTGCTGCAGGGGGCAGAGTCTAGCAAGTAGGCAACTCTGAAAGGTCACTCAGGCAGTCTACCTGCTGAGTGGCACTGATTCACAGGAGGAGAAAGACCAGGATGAAGCAGGATTTCCACTCCTGCCTGGACTTGCCCCAATCTGCCACTGTTTGTGGGTGTGTGGAGGGTGGAGAGGGTTTAAGTGAGGGCTGGGAACTATGCTCAGGGCAGTTATGCCAAAGCTGAAGGGCCTGAGTTGAGAGGACGAGGGTAAGTCCCTCCTTCACTGGTACAATTCCCAAAGACTTAGCTTTTAGTTGTTGCCTGGGACTCTCTCCTTTCTAGAAAGGGATAAGAGAGGCAGCAAAGAGTTACGAGAGAGACATTCCAACAGCAGATCTAACCTCCTCCAACCTTTAGCCCATTCCCGAAGCAGCTAGATACCCAACTGGGAACACTTTGCAATGCCCAGATGGACATGCCTCATTGCACAGGCCTGCTGTCACTTCCATGGGAATCAACCCTCTGCACAACAGTCAAGAGAACACAAGACCTCAAGCTCTAGTCTCCTAAGAAAAGGTCAAAGTTTGAGCCTTTCCAAGTCTAATTTGAGCTTAGGGTGAGGAGAAATCAAGATGGGTATCCAGTGCCAAAGGATGGGGCAGGAAGGGACTGGCAATGCTGGGGCAACCTGGCAGGTCCTATATTTTCACTCTGTTGCCATTCTCAGGATCAGGGCAGCCCTATGCTGGGGTGGAGGGATTTCCTGTCTGGGTGGCAGCACTGGGAGCTGTGTTCCAAGAGCACTCAGTGGGTAGGGCAGCTACCAGGAGACTGACTCACTGAAGATGGAATGATAAGCCCTAGGCTGAACGTACCACACCTGGGACCAGAAACTAAAAGCTTCTTAATGGCCAGAAATAGGAGAGCGAGGCTTTGATTCTGCTGGGCAGGTGCGATCCCATTGGGCTATACTGCTCCTCACTCTGGGTTCCCTGAATTCAACTTGCTGAGTGTCCACTGTGTACTGACCAGACCATAAGATCCTTGGGGGCAGGCACTAATCTAACCCATCTGTATCCACAGTCCTGACCCAGACCATCAGGAATTGTACCTTCACTGGTACAATGTGGTAGAGTGCATGTGCCTAGGGAAAGTCCTGGCTCCATTCCATCCTGGCTGTGTGGCCTTGGGCAGGCTGTACCACCTGGCTGGCCTTGGTTTCTACATCTATGCAAATAAGAGCAATCACAGTGACATCATAGCGTTATTACAGGAGGAAATGTTGAGGGATGAAGGAGAAGAGCCTGCAGGTAGCAGTGTCTGAGGGGCAGGGAGAATCAGGTTGGGGCAGACAGAAAAGGGCCACAGAAAGGCAGCAGGGCCGTGGGCCCAGACGACATGTCGCTCGTGACAGACAATCCTGTAGGCAGACAGAGCTGCTTCTTAACACCTGCATCACCAAGATACCAGAAGTGTTAGACGATGTGAGGGGGGGAGACAGGTCACTGACTCCTTGTTCAGAGCACTGCCAAGAGCCAGGCTCAGAAAGTGTGGCAGGGGAAGCTGCAGACCATTACCCAAGAATCTAGAGCCAGCTAAAAGCCACAGCTCTCCTATGGCTGCAGCCATCCCCTAGAGCACAGGAAGAACAAAGGGCAGTGAGGAAGCTGGAGATAAGAGCGGAACCAGGTCAGGCAGTGGAAAGAACAAGGCTGTGGGGAGACAGGGAGGAGTCAGCAACTTGGGTCCTGCCAGTGACTCACTGGGAGAAGGCAAGGCCTTTGACAAAACAGGTGGCAGTGCAAAGTGGACAAAGAGAAAGGGTGTGGCAGCTTTGAGGCAGACTAGAGTTGCCAGGGCCTGTCAAGACATCCTTGGCAGTAGAAAAGAGGGCCCCCCCTTTGTAAATGAGAGGCACAATTGGTCCCATCGTCCAGACCCCATCTTAAGGCCAGGGCACTGGCCCATCACACAGCTGCAAGTCAGAGGTGTGGGGAGCTGGCCCCAGGCCAAGTCTAGTCCTATTATTGCCACAAATACAACTGGGAAACCAGCCATAAGTGCTCCATGGAGGTGGCAGCTGATAACTCTGCCAGAAGATTTTTTTTGTTTAATTAGCCCACAAATATTGACTGGTCCCCGTCGTGCTAGGTACTGTAACACGGATTACTAAGGATAGAAAGAACAAATCAGCACGAGCACCAAGTGGTGGTGGGAGGCTATGATTCCCCTGGGCAGGCTGTGATCCCACTGAGCTGTAGTGCTCCTCACTCTGTTCATAGCAGGGTAAAGATCCCCTCACCTGGATGCCTGGATGACTCACTCCATGGTTAGACACAGTTCAGGTGCAAGAAGGTGCAGTTTTCTAGAGTAAGAATCTAGAGCTTTTCAGATTCTCAAGGGTGGATGGTGATCTAAAGGGGAAAGGAACAGTATCAAAATCACTTAGGAGAGCTGGGATTGTAGGTAGCTCAGTGGTAGAGCACTTGCCTAGCATGTGTGAGGCACTGGGTTAGATTCTCAGCACCACATATTAAAAAAAA